GCAGCAGAAATAAATGTCTTAAATGTGAAACATGTTGACCTTGTGTCATATGGAAAATTTCAAAATCTCGCTTAAAATCTAATCAGTATAAATATGCATTATTAAATATATAAGACACCCTCATCCTGTTGGTTAAATTAAAGCTCTGTAAGACTAGGATTACAAATGCAAAAACTACTGCTTTAAGGATTACCGAACATATAATTTGTCAAAAGTGTCAGCTGCTTTCCCTGGAATACATTACCAATAGAACAATTTTAAAATTTTAATGACATGCTTGTCTAGAAATCCAATATTTTAATGTGATGCATTGGCAATAATCTGTGTTGTATTTAGATATGTTAGTAATAATAATAATAATCCTTGCATTTGATATAGCGAATTATCATATCTTCGAGACGTCTAAAAGAGCTACACAGAATATATCGTAAAGTGAGTTGACTGTATATTTTGTGGGCGAAATGCAAGAACCAATTGCACACAGCAGCGTCCCACAAACAGTCGGGGATTGAGTTACCGACTTATTTTTTTTAAAAAAATTTGAGGGGGTTATTACCGCTGGAAAAGCAATCCGCCAATCGACTAGCAACCGAATTCCTACTTACTGCCATGTAAACCGAGGCGTACGGAGTAAGGAAACTTGCCTAACGTTTCGCCCTGCCCAGGAATCGAACCGAGGTCCTCACGTTTGCGGGGCGAGTGCTCTAACCAATAAGGTACAGGACTTCACAGATCAATAGTCGGACAGGTCAGGGGAATGACTATTACAATTTAAGATAAGTCAAAGTTTTTAATATTAATTATTCTGTCTGAACCTGGTGGGGCTTAATCACACAGTCACTTTTGGGTGACATTGGAGTTTGTATTTCTAGTGCAGAGTGCTGATGAAGCTGCAAATATATTGGATAGAAATATTGCTGGTGTCACTCTATGACCTGTGTTTAAACATTTTGGAATCAGTGCTGGCAAGAAATACCCGGAGGGAGTAATATATAAGATAGGCACCAAACAGATTAAATATACAATTTATTTAAATTACATTCTTTTCCTAGCATCTGACTTTCAAAATGTTTTCTTTTTCCTTCCAAAATCCTGCCACAATAAATTTATGTCTTGGATAGGTATTGCAATATGCGGGTGGAATGGACAGAGACTCACTACAGATATGAGCGCGAATCAACCAGCATTGTTAGTCGAGACAAAACATCACTGACAAACACTGAAAGGAAAGAATTGCATTGTTATTAAACAACAACAATAAGTTACACATGTATAGCGCCCTTCACATCGGAAAGACATCCCAGCACTTTATTGCATCAAAATGCCTCCAACACTTCATAGTATCTTTCCTCTCCCACCCCCCCCTCCCCTACCTCAGCTGCCACCCCCAGCTTGGGTGCTCATCGAGCACTCCCGATAGGAAAGGTGCTATATAAATGTAAATTGTATTGTACAGTAATTACTGACATGTAATCACTATTTTTGTAGGCAAACGTCGCAAAGCCTCACAAACGGCCATGAGATAAATGATCGATGTATCTGGAGGATTGTTGGCCAGGACTATCTTTCAGAATAGTGTTATGAAATATTTAAAGTCCACCTGACTAGGCAGATGGGACCTTGGTTTAGCACCTTATGGCGAAGGCTACCTTATACAATGCAGATCTCCAAAAGGGCTACACTAGAGTAACAACTGTTTTGCTTACACGTTTCTTCCCATTATTTGCTGTGTTTCCATTTCTGGTCTGGGTTGACTCAAGGTTAGTGCTTCACTCTCAACATAAATAATTCTTAAATCTCCTCATGGCTTGTGACCATTTACTCTGTTTTGACTCATCGCATCGTTTTAGATGACCCAACCAGTGAACCGGCCACAATATTGTGTAAAAACACCATCATTCAATTAAGCTCTTTGATACTGAGACCCAGAAGACACGAGTTTCTATTCAGAAAACTGGTATTGAATATTTAGAAATGGATTTGATGTGCCGGGGTGACATTTGGCCACGGTTGAAAAAGCTTACAGTCTGGTTGTTTTAGTGTCTATTGTGTCACCCGCCTCCCCCCACCCCTCCACTCCCCATCCCCGTCTCTCTATATTATTAAGAAATAATACAAGGAGATTGTTATATTAATTTGGGGGGTGGGCAGGGAATACTCACACTCAGCTCCTGTTAACCCTGTAAGCCAAAGCACTAATTGGAATCAATGCTGGACAAAACAACGCTCTCAACAGCACGCTATGCGGTTGTAACTGGTTAGACTCCGGTAGTTACCCCAACCCGCGCCTAAACACTTTCCAGAATTCCAACAGTCTGTCTCTGGGATGCATGGAATTCTCAGTTTCGTTGGGATATTCGTAAGCATACTCTTAAGAGAGCCTCTGAGCTGTGATTATTTCATGTCGGTTGCGGAGATGTAATAATCAGGAGCCGAGTGGGATGACTCCCTGCCCCCAGATGACTGGTCTGCCCTTCCAGGTCCTGCCAACGAGCCAGGCTGGGCTGGGCTGTGCTGTCATCAGCAGTGCCCTGGACTACTGCGGACCCGCCCGGCTCAAGCAACGGACTAATGAGACCGCCGCGGAGGGCTGGCTTGATTCCGCCATTCTGTTGCCAGTTCAGCTTCACGGAGACCTCGCCCTCTTCCCCCCCCACCGCCCCCCCCCCCCACCACCGCCCCCCCCCCCCCCCACCGCCCCCCCCCCCCCCCCAAGAAGATAACAAGTTGATGGGTTTCCCCAATTGTCAGACACACCTACCTAATAAATAAATAAACAAATAAATAAGAGAAATAGCATTCGATGTACAATATTTCACCATTTACTGTGGTGTGTGGGGATGGAGTGGAGGAGTTGGAGGTGGGGTGGGTGGGGGGGGGGGGGTGGTGGGGGTGGGTGCAGAAAATAAAAACCACTGTGAGTTTATTGCACACACAGAGTAACTACAAATCCCGAGGTCCAATGCATCCATCTGCCAATCGGTGTGTGTGTGCACAGGCAGTGAGTGTGGTTGGTGTGACTGTGTGGAGTGAGAGGTAACTGTAGACACACACAGAGGTGGTGGGGAGGGGGGTGGGGGGGGGGGGGACTCAGATCAGACTGTCCTGGATGCAAAGAGGCTGTGCTGCCTGCACTGACAGCCAGCCAGCCAGACATTCCTGAGCAACTGGAGGGCTCAGATAGACTCCAGGAGCATCCATCCCTCCATCCTTCCAGCCTGAGCTGCTGATGCTCCTGATGAGCTACTGAGCTATTCCAGCTCCTGAGCTATGCCTCTCTGATCAGTGCATCAGTGCATCCTCCTGGGTGGAGGGGGTGGAGGGTGGGGGGTGGGGGTGGGTGGGTGGGAGAAATATATATATATACATATATAGATATGTGCATCTTCTTCTAGGGTAAGCAGCAGATCCAAAAAAAAAAAAACTGGGAGAAAAAAATCCTGCAGGAACAAAGCAGGAGCAACATCGCAACCGAGATGATGTGATCATTTATCTCACAGCTCCAGAGGCTCTGGGTTCCCACTGCGATGCAACAGGGAAAAGGGGAAGAAAAAGCCAGAGAGGGAAAAAAAAAGGAAAATCCAATGCAATTCAGATCATTCCCCCAAATAAAGGAGGAATTAATATGATGCGCGATTCGGTGAGCAGCTCTGCCAAGACCAGCCAGCTATTGGGTGATTATTATTATTATTATTATTATTATTATTATTATTGTTGTTATTATTATTATTATTAACGATAGATTTGATCTGATCTGAGCTGGAGCAAAAAAATATTATTATTGTTATTATTATTATTATTATTATTGACGATAGATTTGATCTGATCTGAGTTGGAGGAAAAAAAATATTATTAATATTATTATTATTATCGTTATTATTATTATTGACGATAGGTTTGATCTGATCTGAGTTGGAGGAAAAAAATATTATTAATATTATTATTATTATCATTATTATTATTGACGATAGGTTTGATCTGATCTGAGTTGGAGGGAAAAAAATATTATTATTATTGTTATTATTGTTATTATTATTATTAACGATAGAATTGATCTGATCTGAGTTGGAGGGAAAAAAAAATATTATTATTGTTATTATTGTTATTATTATTATTATTAACGATAGAATTGATCTGATCTGAGTTGGAGGGAAAAAAATATTATTATTATTATTATTATTTGGAGGAGGGAAGGACCAAAAAAAGTCTTCGCAAAAATTAATTTTTTTTTGTGTGTAGATTTTTTTTTGGGGGGGGGGTGTGGGTGGGGGGAGGAAAAAATATTATTGTTATTATTATTTGGAGGAGGGAAGGACCAAAAAAAGTCTTTGCAAAAATTAATTTTTTTTTTGGGTGTAGATTTTTTTTTTGGGGGGGGGAGCAAAAATTTTATTGTTATTATTTGGAGGGAGGGGATTGGGAAGGAAAACAAAGTCTTCGCAACAATTAATTTTCTTTTTTGCGTGGGTGTAGATTTTTTTGGGGGGGAGGAAAAGTTATTGTTATTATTGTTATTTTTTTGAGGGAGGGGGAAGGAAAGAAAAGTCTTCGCAAAATTAAATTTTCTTTTTTTGTGTGCGTAGATTTTTTTTTGTGGGGGGGGGAGGAAAAATTATTATGATTTTCGCAGATCTTCTCCGGTGGCAAAAATGATTATTGTTTTATTTTCGCAGATTTTTCTTTTTTGGGTGGAGGGGTGGGGGGGGGCGTAGAAAAAAATTAAAATAAAAAGCTTGCAAAATTATTTTTTTGTGTGCTGGGTTTCTTTAGGTGGTGGCGGGCCGGGCGGTGGGTGGGGGGGGGGAAGAGAAAAAAAAGCCTTGTTAAAAATGATTATATTTATAATTTGTGCAGATTTTCTTTTGGGTCGCAAAATTATTATTCTTTTTTTTTGCAGGTTTTTTTGGACGATTTGTTTGTGGTGCAGATTTGTTTCTGCAACAGTAACAACAACAGCAACAGCAACAGCAACAACAACAACAACAACAGCGACTCATTGGCAGCAGATCGGCTAAAAAAAAAAGAAGACGTGTCAGGTCAGCATCTCGCCAGCGATGTTGCCAGCTCAGGAAGCTGCCAAAATCTACCACACCAACTATGTCAGGAACTCCAGAGCCATTGGCGTGCTGTGGGCCATCTTCACCATTTGCTTCGCTATCGTCAACGTGGTGTGCTTCATCCAGCCTTACTGGATCGGCGATGGCGTGGACACTCCGCAGGCTGGCTACTTCGGTCTCTTCCACTACTGCATCGGTAACGGGCTGTCCAGGGAGCTGAGCTGCCGGGGCAGCTTCACCGACTTCTCCACCATCCCCTCGGGCGCTTTCAAAGCCGCTTCCTTCTTCATCGCCCTCTCCATGACGCTCACCATGGGCTGCATCGCCTGCTTTGTCCTCTTCTTCTTCTGCAACACGGCCACCGTCTACAAGATCTGCGGCTGGATGCAGCTCACGTCAGGCGAGTTAACAGCAGCAACATCAGTGCAAAACACACACACACACACACACACATACATACTCACACTGTTTGCTGTTTCTTCCTTTTAACCTCCCCACCCTCCTGTCATCACCTGCAAAGAGCTATCATCCCCTTTTTGTAAGATCAACTTTTCTGCAGAGAATGAATGAACGCAGAGGTGAAACGGCCTTTGGTAAAGAATCTGAGTTGCCTTAAGTTGCTTGGATGCAACTTGCATCAGATCAGGCAAGTTAGCAGCAGCATCAGCATCATCAGCATAAAAAACTCATACACACACGTACGCACACTCACACTGTTTGCCGTTTCTTCCTCTTAACCTCCCAATCCTCACCCTCCCTCCCTCCCTCCCTCCCTCCCATCCATCTGCCTCTCCTACACTTGAGTTTGGAGTCTTTTTTTATATATGTATTTATAAAAGGTCATCACTTGTAAAGAGCCCTTTCCGTTTTTTTTTAAGATAAACTTTTCTGCAGAGAATTAAATGATTGGATACGCTTTCTTGCCGAGGTGAAATTGCTTTTGGCAAAGACGAATCTTGTTGGTTGACTTTGTGATCAAACTTTAATAAGATTAACTGTGTTTGGTGTGGGGAGCGAGGGGGGGGTGAATGGGGTGGAGGAGGTAAAGGAAAGGTGAGAGAGGCACGTGGGCTTCCATCGAGGATGTGCGATTTAAATGGAAGATATTCAAAATGCTTCTGTTAATGGGGAAAGGGGGGCATTTCAGAAATTATAGTGGTTTGATCTTGTTTCTCAGGTACATTGGTAAAGTAGTAAATTTGTGTTAAGTGCTTCATTCATTCCTCTTCAACAGTTATGGGTCTTCATCAACAATCCTTCCAAAGGGGCTTCAGGACAGTAGTTTTGTAGCATTTCCCATTGGACACTATTTGGGATAATAGGGCTAATTTACTTGTGAAATATGTTTTTTTTTGTTCAAATGGGTCCATCTTAATCTTGTAATTTCAAAGTAAAGATACGGATAACTTAACCGAGTGGGAGAGAAACCTCATGGGTGATGTGCTGTGAATGAGCTACTTAAGGCATTTGCTTTTGTACTTTTTGTAGTTCTGGCAGGTTTGCAACTGTTTGTTGTGTGCATCAGTGCTCTGTGCAATATGGAACTAAATTGGCTATGAATTTTCAGCCTGGCCAAGTTATTTTAGTAGCAGACTTGCAAAAAAATTAACTTAATGTTGATAAAGTAAGAACGAATTGGTTTAGATCTCTGAACACTGCATTCAGCCATTTTAACTTTGCTTTGCCTTTTGTGCAGTACAATAGTGTCCTTGTGATGGATGGATAAATATGTTTGAAATAGCATAATTATCCTCGCTAACCCGATGATAGAATTTCACATTGCTGTAACCTTCTATGGAGCTGTTCGGGTTTTTTTTTACATTAAAAAAGATTGGTGACCTAATTTCCCCTTCCCAATATTTTAGAGAATTCTCTAATTTTTATATATATAATTTAATATATATAATATAATTTTTATTCTTTGCATTTCATATATTGGGAAGAAATAAATCTGAATCCTAGAATTAAGGTGGAGCGAGACATTTCTTTAGGGAAGGTTACAATCTAGATAGAAGCTGGTTCGGTATTAATACACAAAGATCTCCTACTGTATAACACTATCTGCGATGATAACCCATGTGAGTTGGTTAATGAATGAGAGGGAATTGGTGTTTAGCACATTGATTTATTCGTGTGCCACGGAATGCGATGGCGCAGAACACGAGCAGTAAAGTTGGATTGTGAACATTATTACTATAATGTTAACACAGAAGAGGAATAAGCTTTTAGTCTCATGTATTTCGCCCACAAAATACACAGCCAATTCACTTTACAGTATACTCTGTGAAGCACTTTGAGACATCTCGACGACGTGATAAGGCGCTATATCAAATGCAAGGATTATTATATTATTATTATTATCACCATTGAGTATTAGTAAGTAAAGAAGCAGATCTGTTAACCTTTGCTTGGTTACTTGATTAATTCCATCGTGGAGATACTGATGGTAAAAAAAGGCTTTAGCAACTAATGTTTAAAAGTTACCACAGCGAAATGTTGACTACTGCAGACATTGTGTGCACTGTAAATAATTCAATAAGAAATGCCGAAAAGCCCTCGGGTTGTGTACTGATATACTTATTAATCTTACAAATGTATATGCTGTTCAGTGTGAATATGAAAGGTATTACCCTAAGTTCATGCAGTACTGCAAACTCAGCTGCTTTAACCTGGATGTTATTATAAACAGCTTCAGTCCTGGACTGAAAAGCCAAAGTACAGAAGGAACATTTTGTTTTTGCACTTCACACACAAAATATACAGACAAACCACTTTACAATATATTCTGTGAAACACTTTGAAGCGTCTCAATGACGTGATAAGGCACTATATGAAATGCAATGATTATTATTACTATTTATAATGCATCTGTATCATAAATATTTTAATGCACCTGTGTCATATATACAATTATATGCAATTATCCCCATTTCTCTGAGCTATTATATATTAAATAATCTGATTTTAATTAAATTATGTGATTTTGTTCAATTGTCAGATCCTGCAGAACTCCAGTTTCTTTTTGGATAACTTTATCTACATTTACATTTTGGAAAAACTTATCCTACACAAAAGGGTCAGAAAAGGACTCTATTTCACAGCTAAGATCAATGAGCATTAATTAACAATCCTTTATATGTCACTGTTGAATTATGGACACTTCATCGTTGTGCATATGCTTGCTCGAAGCTAAACTAACATTGATCTTATTGTAATGTAACTGGGTGACACCATCTTCATGTCCTGTGCAATACAACACCATCTTAGGGGTAAGAAACAAAACATGGGACCAAGGCTATATGGTCTGATATGCACCTCTCCTGTTATACAGTGCATTTTCATTGACCACCTTATAGATTGCACGCAATATGACCATCGTGCATTTCTAAGCCGATTGGATTCGGCAGCTCAGCAAGATTGTTGTCAAAGGCAGGTGACCTCATACCATTAGCAGTTTTAAAACAAAAAGTTGGAGAGACTTGCCAAATATATGCTGAAAATCAGAGTTACGGATCCATCGGTGAAGGGATCCATCTGGTATGAGTTGCAGATCAGAGCAGGATAATCAAGGCAATACAGCTCTTTGACTAATGCCAGGCAGTGCTGGACGGTTTAACATTTCTGTTGCAGCGATCGAACTAATAAAAGAGTCAAGTCAGAACAAATATAAATCAACCTGCTGTTAAATTCTCGCATTTTTTGCTTTTATCCAATTAACTATTTCATCTTCATCATTTTTCCTTCCCTTAATATTTAGGTTTGGAAGAGGTGCATGATTTGTCTGTTTATGTAAACCATAAACCTATACGCTAAGCATTGAAACTAATTGCCACTCTCTTAATATTCCAGCACAGACATGATGGACCTAAATGTCTGTGGCTAAATTTCTATATTGTGAGTGTAATAGCTTCTTGAAACCCCTCCTGATCCCAACCCCCAGCTCGGGTCCAAATCCCTGACTGTCCAGCGCCTTGGGGCATCCTCCAGAAATGAAAGGCGTTATATAAATGTAATTTGTTGTGGTGGTTAAGTTTTCGATCTCCCTGCTTTCCCCCCCTGCCCTCCACCCTTCCCAATCCCGACCCCCAGCTCAGGTCCGAAACTCTGACTGTCCAGCGCCTTGGGACGTCCTCCGGACGTGAAAGGCGCTGTACAAATGTAATTGTTGTTTTGTTTCTATATATTCAATTCACTTTACAGTATATTCAGTGAAGCGCTTTGAGACGTCTCAACGATGTGATAAAGCTCTATATCAAATGCAAGTATTGTCTAAGCGCTCCGAGAAGCTGCGTGGAGGGCGCTATATAAATGCAAGTTGTTGTTGTTATTATTATTATATTATTATTTTCGAAGGCACTTTCATTGTTTTTAAAACAGGCATATTAGCAAAATGTTTTATTCTTTGTGTTGGCGATTAATGTGTCCAAGGAACTGCTAATGTGAATCAATAAGTTATCCCAGACTCTATCTGTGGCAAATTACAGTTAAAATACATCAGCATTGATTATGATTAATATCGATCTGAGTATATTTTTAACCTGGCTTCAAGGACTGAAGAAACAGCTGTTCCTGGTAACCTGCTGGGATTAATAGCACTAAATACTATTTTGATAAATCATCTTGCTTCTACAACAATCCGTAGTGAAGTACACATTGTGTACTGCTTCTCTTTTAATAGCAGCTTGCTTTTTGGTTAATGTAATACGGTGTTTAAAATTCACAGTGTTACCTTTTTTTTAATCAAATGTGATGCTGCATATATCATGTTGGTTCTTATTCCCGATATAGATTTAATTTAAATAGACAGACGGACGGACAGACAGACAGACAGACAGATAGATAGATATAGAAATATCTTGAACAGGACAAAACAAAGAGACGTGCAAAACCAGCTAGAGGAAAGCAGACACTCTTGTGTTGTAGAGTGTTACTTGCAAGAACAGACAAACCCGCTCGTGCTTTCTCTTCAGATTTTCAGCCTCTCTGCCCCCACCCTTTGGAACTTCGTTCCACAGTCCCTTCGCCTCGCTCCCTCCCTTGCTATAAATGTATAAGCTGTGGTATTTGAGATACCGAAGAGAAAGTGGATCTCTTTTGTGTCAAGGTTGTGCCCCACTTGGGAGTTATTATGGTTGAAATATAAGAGCTGCTGTGACCCCATTGCCTGGCCAATTTGTCCATTATTTGCTTCCAAGCATTTGGAAGAGCCCAGGCAGAACAACATTGGCTGTCTTGTGCAATGGGTATTGATTACTCACAGTGATGACATCTATTGGAAAAGGGCACCAAATAGAAAGGATGTTAAAAATGATATACTTGTGGTTGTTGTTGGCTCCTCTGTTAAGCACTTATGCACACAGATAAGATGACTCTTTCCCCCAGTGCCTTCGCCTTGCCTCCTCCCTTTCCTCCTTCAAGGCCGGTCTCAAGACCTTTCTCTTTGACCGTGCCTTCAGCTCCCCTCTCGACTCTCTACCCCCTCCTCGCTC